ACCGGTGTGGAACCTAACAGCATCCTCGCAGAGGTACGGGGACCCCACTGAACCTGGAGCGGATCCGGTTGTACGGAAGCACTGTTAGACCGGAGCGTGGGCAATGATTACCAATGCAGAGGCCTCTTAAATCCTTAGTGGGAGTGACAGAATTTGACCTATTCTGTATAAAGGATAAAAGGCATGCACTGGCCGGGAATCGAACCCGAGACCTTTAGCACACATGGCAACGCTCTAACCAACTGAGCTACCAGTCCGTGTATTAGACTGATGTTAGCTAGCATCAGGTACAAGTGATGGAACTTGTATTTCTGACACGACGATCGTCAAATTGTGCGTTCATTGAAGAACGGTTTGTAAACATCACTAACCTCGCTATTCCAGTTCGAGGCCTTACGCCGCGTGCATCTGATACCCTCTGAAGGGACAGCCGAAGAAGCCCTGAACACTATCAATGCCAATGTATTCCGTAACCTCGACTCACCAGTCTCAGAAGGCGGTGAAAATTTCTCTACTGGGTACGTGACCCGTTTCCCGCTTTTTACAGTTTACCTGATGAGCTTTCCTCCAGAGAGAAGCAACTGCTTTGTATGGCACGTGCCATTCTCAAGCGCTCAAAGTGTTGGAATATGCGGCGGTATTGGGTATGAGACTCGCCACCGTTGCCACTTGATCCTAACACATACAAACAACGTCCGTAGAGTTGCGTTCGTCTTTGTACTTACATCCTCTATCCTCTACTATGATGTTCACTCGTTCTCTGTGATATCTGGGTCCTCAGGCTTTCCGTGCATCAGTGTCTCTGGGTTAATCCTACAGGTTATGAGCCCCGCTGCTTCTGCTTGCTGTCTGTGTCATTCTCTGGGTCTTATCTGCCACATCAGTGCCCATCTACGCCCATCTGTGCCCATCAGTGTCCATCTGAGCTGATCAGAGCCCTTATCTGCGTCCTATCAGTGTCGGTGTGAGCTGCGTTGAGTGTCTCCGCGCCCGCCACTCCCCTATCGGTGTTATCTGTGTTGCGGTATCCTATCTGGAGTCTGCCCTTCGTGTGGCTGC